GGGAAATCATGACCATACAAAGATGGAAATAAATATAACCGTTGGATCAACATAAGCGATCTAACGGTGAGATTGACTGGGTGTAACATAATTTGGGTGTCACAATATCCTACCCCATATTTATATATATATATATATATATATATATATATATATATATATATATATATATATAATATTAAATTTGGGAAATCATGACCATACAAATATGGAAATAAATATAACCGTTGGATCAACATAAGCAATCTAACGGTGAGATTGACTGGGTGTCACACGAGTGTAACATAACTTGGGTGTCACAATATCCTATCCCTATATATATATATATATATATATATATATATATATATATATATATATATATATATATATATATATATATATATATATATAATCATATCTAAAGTTGTTATACGTGCAATAATGATAGGTGTATAGCTATGATTTCCCACATCTAATGCTTATTTTGTATGGTTATGATTCCCCATATTAAATATTTTAACCTATATATATGTAAAATTTGTCACTGCTGCACGTAAAGCCGCTGCAGTAAAATCGAACCATATAAAGATGAATCAATAATTATAAAAGAAGAGAGAAAAAAATGAATCTTAATCATACAAAGATGAATTAATTAATATAAGGAAATAAATAAACAAAATGACGTATTTTAATACTGACAGGACAATCCAGACAAACAATAAACCCTATATATATATATATATATATATATATATATATGGGAAGGATATTGTAACAACCAAATTGTGTTACTACCAATCAATCTCACCGTTAGATCGATTATGTTGATCCAACGGTTATATTTATTTTCATCTTTGTATGGTCATGATTTCCCAAATTTAATACTTTATATTTATTTTCACCTTTGTATGGTTATGATTTCTCATATTTAATGCTTTCACTTTGAATATGGGGAATCATAACCATACAAAGATGAAAATAAATATAACTGTTGGATCAACATAACCGATGTAATGGTGAGATTGATTGGTAGTAACACAACTTGGTTGTTACAATATCGTTCCCCCCACACACACACACACACACATATATATATGTGGATTTAATATTTCTATAGTGAATGTAGATAAGTATCTACATTTTCTCCCAAAATGACGTCATTTTGGGTTAAAAAATTAAAAAATTATAATGAAAAATACTATTATAACCCTGAAATAAATTATAATTACAAAAATACCTTGATTTTCGCCTCAAAACGACGTCATTTTGGGTTCAATATAAATAAATTTACATTGACTGTAGAAAAAGTGAACCATTTATATATATATATATATATATATATATATATATATATATATATATGGTTCTACAGTCACTTTAGATGAGGGTATCTATAGTTACTCCAAAAACTACGTCATTTTGATTAATAAAGGGTTTTTCTGTAATTTTAGGTGAATTAATTAAAAGTGTTTCAGTAAAATGTATATGATAAAAAAGTAAACAAAAGTACGGAAACATCCTTCATTAATTCACCTAAAATTACAGAAACACTCTTCATTAATCAAAACGTCGTAATTTTTGGGGTTGCTGTAGATAACCTTATCTAAAGCGGCTGTAGAAATATTTATCCCTATATATATATATATATATAATGCGAATATACAGTGACTGCACCTAAAATTTGGTGCGGTTCACTATGTATTCTCGGAACTACATAGTTATAATAAATATTATAACTATGTACTTTCGGAAATACACCAATGTACATAGTTATAATTATTATTATAACTATGTATTTTCGAAAGTACATAATGCACTGGACCGTCCAGTTACTGCATATTCATTTTTCATATATATATATATATATATTTGTTCGTATCTTTTTTTAGTACATCATTATTTTGTTTGATTGGATGTATCAAATATTATACAGCATTAAACTTTTTAAATAAATTTGGAGCCATATGTTTTTTCCAACCTTATATAACATCATCATACATATTGTTTTATTACGATCATTGGTGCTTGAGATAGTTTACATACGTCTCAATTTTTTTTATACAAAATATATAAATATAAATTAATTGTATTTTTGAGTTAACAGTGTAGATTTTTTATTAATTAAATACCTGGTATACATTCAATTCTTTGATATTTTTTCTTATTTCTTTTACTATTCGTAAGTTATCAATAGCTTTCCTAAAGTTTGTATATACTCTCTACATAAAAATGTTTGGGCATTTGTCATTTTTGTTAGTTAAATATTGTAAAGTTTATTTGTTAGTTTACACTCAACTCAATCTATTCATTTCTCTAATTTAGTTAAAGACATTTTACATGTATTATATGTTCGTCCACCACTAAACTAACATTTTACAATATTTAACGTAACAAAAATGACAAAAGTTAATATGAAATGCACAACAGTTATTTTTTAATAGAAAAATAATTTTCTTAAAAAAATATACATATAATAATTAATAATCAAAACAGACAAGAAAACATAAAATAATAATAAGGAAGATTCCAAAAATATGAAAAATTAAGAAAAAAATCCGAGTCCAAGATTGCCCTGTTTCCTTAAAACAATTTGTCTTGTCCAAATTGCTAAGAAATAATGAACAATTATTTTTAGGATATAATCAATTACCTCTTTTATATGAGAGCACTTAGGAATAAGAGCTCCCTTGAGTTTTGAAACGACACATCTCTTAATCGAAAAGACACATCTTTTCATTTTTCTTTCCCAACTTTTTATTTATAACTATAATTAATTTACAATTAACAAAAAAGCCAAAATGATAGGCCAAATAAGGACAAGCTTAAAAAACATTTGATATTCTTATCCACATAAAAAATGGCTGTTAAAAACCTACGAGAAATGAATCATACCAAGTTGGATGAATGTATACATAAAATATTTTAAAAATAAACCTTTCCTTAGTATAACAACTAATATTTTTATCAGAAATTAAATTGGCGAACATCTAAGCCGTGATTCAATTACATTAATGGTTTGGACCAAATTTTAGAACATTAATAACAATACATAATTTTTTTATTAACCCTGAATAAGACATGTTCCGATTGCAACAAAACAAAATAGACAAGAAACTCCATAAAACTGAAAAGTCCTTGCCAATGAGCTGTCCCACATATAATAGTTTACTACTTTATATATCTGATATTGACGAATTATTATTTTTATATTATAGGAGATAATTTTATTTTGTATATGTACATAAAAATATGTAAAACTCGTATAAAACTATATAAAAAAAAGAAAAAAGAAAATAACATAAATACCACACACTTTTATTTATATATATATATAAAATAAAATTATTTTGTAGGGAAAACATTAATATCTTAATATTATGCACACAAAAGAAACTTACATTTATTGCAGAATATTCCCCTTATCAAGCTGCCTTGAATTGACCAATTAACCATTTCCGGATCTTCCAAACGCCACAACCCTTTTTACCTTCTCTTTCATATAAATTATGAATTGATTCTTGAAATCAAAAAAGTACTTTTATTAGCACAGATAGAATCGCTCATCTAAATAATTAATATAATTAAAAATTCCATCCACCCAAATCAGAGAATGTTTGAATGACTTTTTAAATCTGCAGAACTGAAAACAAAAATAAATAAATAATTACCTAAATATTTATCTATTTGTAGTTGCCATTCCTTTATAATATATATATCAAACATAATTTTTTTGTCCCTTCGTTAGTTTTATATGTTTTGTATTAAAATAAAAAACAGATATTCTCATTTACAAATCAAATTAATTTTGGGAAACACATTTTTTATTTACTTTTGTATTTTGGTATATATTTATTGGGTTTAGTATGTGTCCTTTTAAAGGACACAATATTTGTGTATTTCTAGCAGTTATAACTATGAAGTACGGGTAATACATAGTTGTAATATTAAAGTTGTACTTTTTTTATTTTTTATGTCAGCAGACAATTTTTGAAGAGAGAGAAAATATAACTTTAATATTATAATTATATACTACCCATAATATATGATCATAACTGCAAAGGACATAACATTGTGTCCTTTAAAAAGACAAAAAAAAATTCATATTTATTAATCAATTATATTGTTTTTACTTTATTAAATTAGGAGGAGGAGAGAGAAAGATACGATATTTAGGAGGATAAAAAATTAATAAATATGAAACAAAACATAATTATTTACACTGAAAATGACACAAAAATTATGTTTTTGAAATGATAAATACTTTTTTTCATTATTTTTAAAAATTTTCTAATTTGAGATATACTATTTCGTCTTTCACCGACTTGGTCTCTGCCCATTTCAACTACTTCAAAATTTCTACTCACGCGTAACACACGTTATACCAAAGTTACAATATGTGATATATTTTTTTTGGTGGAGACAATATGTGATATTTTATTGGGGATAAAAAAAATCTGGTATAAATATGAGTATATCTTATAAGGGTTTAATTTTTTATGATGTATGAGATAATAAATTTATCTACTGTACATACATAAAAGTGTATGGGATTCATATTTTTTATTTCTTTCTCTTTTCTCTTCACATGTTCCTATATAAACTCCACACACTTTTATGTATATATAAAAAATAAATTATCTCTTACAATACGAGAAACATTAATCTCATAATATAATTATAAACTTTCTATTTCTTTTGTTTGAACAAATTTTAATTAATTAAAAAAGTAAAATTATTAAATTAATTTTCTCTCATTTGCAACTTGGTCTCTCGTCTCTCTCCCATGTCTCTCGTTTGTGGCACCCTACATGGTCCACATTTAATTCATTCGAAACTGTTTCCATAAACAACACTCCCTCAAATTCCAAGTCCCTTTTCTCTCATCTCACGCATGATCTCTTTCAACTCGATCATGTGATCTCCAAAAGTGTCCTAAGAAAATCCTTAAACTTTGTAAATACTAAAAATCACACATACGACATATACATATATTTTTGCATAGGTTATAACATGATGGTGTTGGTGAAGAAAACAAAGAAGCATTAGTCAAAAACACATCATAGCATATATAATTCTCATTCATAAGAAGCCAAAGAGACCATTTTTTGCCACCCCAATTCAACTTATCAAACAATGAAGGATACCGCCGCCGACAACGCCGCCGCCGACGGCAACAAGCCGTGGAATTCAGGTGGTTCCGGCAGCAGCCACCGTTTTGTGAGAAGGGTCATGCAAATCACCATGTTCCTTGTTGGGTTTGCTGTGTTGTGGATGTTTCTCTATAACTCTGCTTCTCCCTTTGGATTCCCTGCTTTCTCACATCACTTCTTTGCTGAGTCAACAAAGGTCTCTCTCTCTCTCTCTATATATATATATATATCTTTCTATGTTAGATTGTGTTTTTTAATTGGAATTGGTGGAGAACAGAGAAGAATAAAAGGGGTTTGAGTTTTGGATTTTTGGCTTCTGCTGATGCACAATTTTCTTTAGAACTAATCAAAAAGTTGAATTTTTGAATTCTGGGTTTTGATGCTTTTTACATGCTTTTTCAGTTCATGCTTGGCTTCTGATTGGTTTGTGCAAACTTTTTTTTTTTTTGGTTTTTTGTGGGTCAATTTTGATTCTTCATGCCAAACTTGAACTAAAAACCATGCTTTTTGAATGTTTATCCGGTTAGGTATAATTATGGATATTTGTTTTCTAAGTGGAGCTCACTGTTTCATTCTAATTTTTCCACCCTGGAAAATGATTATCTAATAGCATATTTGATTAGGCCAAAAGTAATTTTATTTTATTTTATTTTTTTACTTTGGCTTATTACATGGTTTGAAACTTTAAGATCATGTCCAAACACAACTCAACCATTATTAAGATTCTAATTAAAATTAAATAAAAGCTTCTGAGATTTTTAGGAAGATAAGAAGGTTCATGGATTGGTAACTGATGAGAAAAAAGTGGCCGAAATTAATGGATAGTGGCGTGTGGGGCTTATTGTAATACTTGATGACAAAAATCTAAGCATTGCTGATTGGATACGCATCTCATTCGGCAGACTCTTCGGGTAAAATGTTTGAATTTACAAATGTAAATTTGGCACCATTTGAAAGTGTGCAAATGGTCTCTTTCTAATAAATAGCCTTTGAAGCATAGCAGTCAGTGGGTAAAATCTTCCTAATCACTAAAGCTGCAATTTCCGTGGCCATGTTCTGAATTGGTATGTTTATGCATTTATTTTATTTTTTTGGACTGGAAATGACAAGAACGTGCATATTTTGCTTTTCAAACTTGTATTAATTGATTAATTTTTGGTGAATTGTTCCCCTTCTCTTTCTCTCTCTAGAACGTATCTCCTAAAAAGGAGATATGTCAGTGGGGATTTTGTTTCTGAAAGATGTAAGGTTCACATGAGGTCCAATTACTAATGCACACAAACAAATATTATATTCATTTTCGGTTAAGATAATATGATATACAGCACTGATATATATTTTAAATATTTTAATTTACTTAAAACATTTTTATTTCTTCTTGAATGAATTTTCTCGTTAAGATTACATATAATACATAAAAAAAATATTTATAATTTTAAATGATATAATTTATGTTATTTTAACTGAAATGACCGTATTTTGGTATATATTTAGTCATAAATATCTTTCCCATAATATATAATTTATTTCTATTATAAACCTTATTCCAATTGGTCATAATGAGAAGTTTGTATTTTATTATTGAAAATAAATTTTGGACATCTAGTGTTTTAATTCTGTTTTGTCTTCTGAATTTATAAATATATATATAGTTTTATAAAAAACGGAATATATAAATGCCACTTTTGAGAGAATAAATTAGTAATGCTTCAAAAATAATAAAAATTGGTAGAATAATATGCGGGCACTAACATGTTGAAATCATCTTTGCTATCTTTCTCAATTCACAAACATGTGCATCTATTGAATTTATATTCTTTTGTACCCAATATGAAATTTGTTTCTGTTTCTGGGTATCCATCTTATTCAATGAATTAATCATGTTTAGTTTGGTCATTATTTTTATCTCATTAATAATGAATGTGTTGAGGAATGGAATATGCCAATTCAATCCTTAGACAACCCTATTTTAGTTATTTAGTGTAAAATGTTTTTTGTTTTTTGTTTTCATAGTTGATGTATTTTCAAAAGCCTAACTTCCATATTTACATTTTTGTAAGGTCATTTTTTTTTTTTTTTTGTTAAACAATGTTGCATGTTGGGACGCTATTGAACCACGTGACATAGTTGCCATCAGACATAATCAGCAGTTCACATGATTGTCCCAATGTAGACTTAGGTTGACTCTGTTGACCTGATTGCTTTAACTTTCAAATAAACAATATTATTATGGATGTGAGGTTACTAATTATCATTTTATCATTAGGCTAAGATTAGAGAAATTACCAATTCATTGACTTCATGGAAAGAATAATTTTAAGTGAGTATTGTTTATTATTAATATTTTTTTTCAATTTTTTAATGTTTTTATTCATTTTTAATTTTTATTTAACATATGTGTGTATATTGTTTTCTTAAGTATTATTTATTTTTCCTTGGTCAATTCCTATTTTTATATGACAACTAGTTTGGGAGATGATGTTGTTATATATAGGATCTCGATTATGGCCACTTTACTCATAGTTAAGCTCTTGACAAAAGAACTATGTGAAACCTACCACAATGCTTGAGTAAGGATGAAAGTAACTACGGAAGGAGTTACTTTAAGGAGACGTTTGGTACAGGAGAAATTTTTATTTTTTCGGGAATCTCGATTTTTAAAAATATAATTTTTGCATTCAGTTTATGATAATATCTAAAATTTAAAAATTTAAAAAAATTCAGTTTGCCGAAAATCTCGAAAAATTCTGCGTACCAAACACCCTCCAATTACATTTTTGGGTAGGAGGAACATTAATAACTTATCATCTGATTGCATTTTTGGGTAGGAGAAACATTAATAACTTATCATATGACACTATGAAGTATGAAATCTCATGTAGGTCCCACTAAATAACCTCGACCTACTCTTTATCAATAGGGTTAACACTAAAGCTTAGATTTCACCTAATAATAGAAAAAATATTTTAAAAAAAATGTAAAATAATATGTTGCTAACAATTTCGGATAAAAGGAACAGCGTGATCCATAGTGGATTGAGGAATGCTGATATGTCAGTGTGAAAGGAATAAAGGGTTTCAATTTCATTGTAGGGGAATTATTCTATTGAGGATGTCATATTCAATAATGGTAGTGTGATAGTTTCACTATCGGCCACCACCTTTGAGTCCTATAGGGGCAGTGTAAGAACTTGGTGGCTACCAGAAATGTAGTCCACTTAAAATTTATCTACAATCTTGACCAAAAAAAATTAAAAGAGTCACTGATCTTTTGGTATATAATTCACTTGAGGGTCCATCTTGTTCATTTATGTTTAGAAGTTTGTCTATGTCCTTATTATATTGACTTCTTATTTGATGTCTTGCAAGTACTTTTTTTTTTTATAATGTTTTCATAACAATTGTGGATCACATAAAAAGGACAAAAATGATCGATTATATGCAGTCTTACTCTTAGATTCTTATAAAGAGACTATATTTCTAATTTGATCCCGTGACTTTTCGGTCATAAAAACCAACCTTAGTGTTATTTGAAAGCTAACATTAAAATTGTGGATCACATAAAGTCTCAAATTATTTGATTCCTCTGCATTCTAGAAATGAATAGTTCTATGATTTGACGTCCATTTATGTGAAACTAGTTGTAATGCTAAGATTGACTCTAGTTTTCCACTAGTCTTATTATCCCTCTCATGTGCTTGATGAATTTCTTCTGTGAAATATGAACTTAGTTTTGCCAAGTTTTCAATGCTACCTCATCTTTATGTATCAGGAGAATTATGATCCAAAGCTAGAGAGTGTTCTTAGAAACGCTTCTATGAAGGACAAGACAGTGATAATCACAACTTTAAATGATGCATGGGCAGAGCCAGGTTCAATATTTGATCTCTTTCTTGAGAGTTTTCATATTGGGAACCAGACAGAGAAGCTTTTAAATCACTTGGTGGTAATAACTTGGGACCAAAAGGCATATGCACGTTGCCTAGCTTTGCATAAACATTGTTATCAACTTCAAACTAAAGGTGACAATTTTACCAGTGAAGCATTTTTCATGACCGCAGACTACCTACACATGATGTGGAGAAGAATTGAATTTCTTGGTTCTGTCCTTGAAATGGGGTACAGCTTTGTGTTCACGGTATATATATATATATATATATTTGTTTTGCAACAAGCTACTTCTAAAAAACTTTAGCATGCACACACACATACAACCACACAAAGAACTAAGATTTAGATTCAAAGTTAATAAAAAAACTCTCCGTTAAACCTCGACTAGTGAGGATAGAGTAAGGACAATTCTTGTATGTAACCTTATCCTTGCATATTGTTCTATTTTTTCCGTTGCAGGATACTGATATAATGTGGCTTAGAGACCCCTTCAAACGATTTTACAAAGATGCAGATTTCCAAATCGCTTGTGATTTTTTCAATGGCAACTCCTATGACTTAAAGAACCTTCCAAATGGAGGGTTTACCTATGTAAAATCTAATATCCGAACTATTTGGTTCTACAAGTACTGGTTCAACTCTAGGAATGCCTATCCAAAGTTGCATGATCAAGATGTGCTCAACAAGATCAAAAAGCATCGCCTCATTTCTGATATGAACCTGAAGATTAGGTTCCTTAGCACAAGTTATTTTGGTGGGTTTTGTCAGGCTAGCAAGGATTTTAACAAGGTCTTAACAATGCATGCCAATTGTTGTGTTGGTTTAGAAAACAAAATCAATGATCTTAAAATTTTGCTTGAGGATTGGAAGAAGTATATGGCATTGCCTGAAAATGAGAAAAAACAGTCACATCCTTCTTGGAGCGTACCACAAAGTTGCAGGTAATATAAATGAATTTGTTAACATGGGGTCTTAATTAATTTATTATTTATTCAGTAAATACATTGATTTTATGAAGTAAAAATATTTCATTATTTGAGATTGTTTTCTTTCTCTGTTTTTCACGTTGTTGACATCATGCAGGGGATCCTTTCAACGTAGCAAACAAAGGATGAAGAGTGGAGGGAGGTTGTGACGAGCTTTTGTCTATAACCGTTTGACGCTTGTATAAAGAGGTATGCAAAATAGTGTACACTTACAGGATTCTCTAGAAAAACATTGCACATTAATCTTACACTATGATTTGTTTGTTGTAAGTAGCATTTTATTCTTGTAAATCCACCCCTCCTTGCAGAAAAAAGAAAAGAAAAGAAAAAACATTGTCTCGTTTAAAATGTGTCTTTGTTTTACTCCACAATGATAGCTTCATCTGTTTTAGAGTATAAATAAAGGGCTTTACATTTCTCATTTGACATGAGGTTACAAAAGTTCCTACACACACATAATTTAAATGGGTCCCACCATAAACAAAAAATAAAAAAAATATTGCACGCAAAACGATCTCTCACTAACATGAGAATACAATTCTTCTATTAAAGGAGAAATAGTTTTCCTATAAATAAATGGGAACGTTTAGGAATCATGTGTGACAAAAGATTTGGATAACATTATTATTTAATTATAAGTTTTTTAGTTTTTTTTTCTTCCTGTCTTTGCTCAATAACATTTTTATGTTGATTGGTTTTGAAGGTTGGAGAATGATTCGCTCAAGTATCGGATAACAGCAGAGAATAAGTGGTAAACAAATTGAAAATGCAGGATATGGAGAAAAAAGTTGTTCAAGTTCTCAGAATTCAGATACAAACCATACAATTGTGAATTTTAATGATTTTTTACACCCTTTTGGTTAAAATTAAATTATTGTCATTTCTCATGTATTTATTTAATTTTTTGTTGTTGTTAATTTACAGTTTTTCGCAAATCTCTCTTTAACTGTAAAAAATCTATAATTTTTCTTCTCTCACAAATTACACCTGTTAAGAAAAAATATCTGTAGGTTTTTGTTGAGATATATAGTCTCACATTGATTGTGTGGACAACTAATGTAGCCTTTATAAGACCTTGTGCACTCTCACCCTTTGAGCTAGCTTTTGGAGTGGTGTATCCTAAAGTTATTTACATGGTATCAGAGCCTCACCGTCCCCCACTTTAAAGTGGAATTAAAATAAAAAACACAAAAAGGTAAACCAAAAATTGGGCCTGTGCAATTCCACGCTTCTAGTCTAAGGGGCTCTTGCGTGAGGGGGCGTGTTGAGATATATAGTCTCACATTGATTGTGTGGGCAACTAATATAGCCTTTATAAAGCCTTGGATACTCTCACCCTTTGAGCTAGCTTTTGAAATGATGTATGATAAGGTTCTTTACAGTTTTAGAAATGAAAACTATTCGTCCAATAAAAATACAGTTCAAGAAATCTATAATGTTCTGTTTTTTGCTTCTCAGTAAACATTTACGCTGAGGATGAAAACTCGTGAATTTATAGTTTCAAATACCTTGAGTTCGTTTCTTCTTTTTGGGTCTTTGCCTCTTAGGCTACCTGCAGTATATGGGATGGGTGAAATAGTATATGGTTTGGTATTGCATGGTTATATTTACAAATTTTATACTTATAAATTTTTTCAAATTATATTATGTATTACGGGTAGCATATATTATTTGAACATGTACTACTTGAACATGTATTACCCGTAATAGTAATATAATATTGTTTGTAAATAAAAAATTTATAAATATAACTTAATTTCAATTTTTATATGTTTAAGTCTTTAATCCCAAAATAGGATCTTACACTTGGCCCAAAGCCTTGTGGTCCAAGGGGAACTGAGAAGGAAGGTTAAGCCATAGAAAATAATATATATATACCGTATAAAAACACAATATTTTTAAGGATTGGTTTAAAAGATAGTTCGGAAATATTTTCAATTATATGAAGAAATCTCTTTCCTTTGTTTCTCTCTTTGCATTATTCACTCCCTAAACTCTTGGGCCTTAAGTTGCCAAATGTTGTCTATGGCTAATATATAGAGCTAGAATAATCATTAAGAGGCGAAGAAAAAGGATAAAATAAGTAGATATATTTTTTTCTTCCACTTAGTTTTATTCTATGTATGTGATTGAATTTGAATTTAGACAAAATATAATATGATCAATTAGAGAATCATTCAAATTATCAAAATTGTTTCATAAAGAGAAGGAACAAATTGGTGCTTTAGTTGCTAAGCTGTGTGAGTTTAATTAGGACCGAACTCTATCCAATGTCAATTTAAATATTGAAACACCTTGAAAGAGTTCGTTTCATTACCAAGAAATCAGCCACTTTTCAGCATCGTGATAAAAGCATGCTAAGTCTCCAAACCTGCTTAGGCAAGTCATACTTAAAAAGTTCAGAGCCTTGAAGTAACGTGATTCATTAACGTGCTACTTACAAACAATTATGGATTTGAGTGATAAAGAAGCCTGTTCTTTTTAATTAAAACTCTCGAGTTATATTCCTGGAAATATAAAAAATAACCTTGGAATGTTATCAAAAAAAAAAAAAAATAACCTTGGAAGAGTTATCTCTTAAATGGATCCATCATACTTGAATCGGATTAAGTCAGATAATCTATTAACCGATGGAGAAATAAAACAATTCACAACATAGGTTTTTATTTTTTATTTTTGATCATATATTTCAAGCTTGTTCCCCTTCAAAATTTATAGAAACTTTTAATTGTAAATACTGTTTTAATTTTTTTATCACATAAATAATTATAAAGGGTTTAATGTATTTCCAATCAATGGAAATAACTTATCTTCAGTGAACCAATACGATATAATTTTAGGATTGGAAGAGTAAAAAATTATAATAATAAAGACTAATTATATAACTCTAAAATAAATTAAAATTACAAAAATATATTTTTTTAACCTAAAACGACATTGTTTTGGACTCGCTGGAAATAATTTTGTTTCCAATTACTGGAGAAACATTAAACCCCCAAACTATAATTTCAAAGAAAAAATTTATATTATAATTTTACCCCCTTCAAAAAAAATTCTCTTGGTCTAGGACCGATATTAAAAAATAGATCCTTGAGAATTCCAATATGTTTTGGTTTAACACACACTTAATTTCCACTAGGGGCTGAAATTAAAAACATTTATTTTTTAGGATGACTATTCAATCTATGATCAATGAGCACAGCACGTTCCCCCCACCCCAAACTATAGGTATGTTTCACGCTTCTTTTGATTAAATCTCTATAGATTTCAATAAGAGATGGTTCTAAATACAGGGTCCCAGATTCATCTATCACCGTTATCAATAATTGATCACTATTTCATTAGTATGTTCCACATTATCCCACCAATTAATTACCATTATCAATAATTGATCACTATTTCATTAGTATGTTCCAACAATTAGTACACCAACTAATTCTATATATTATGCACCTTTTTATCATAATAAGTGTGTCATCAAAATTTAATTTACTCTACCATGTGATTCTAATTGGCACTTGTCCACTGTCACAGAGACTCACCAAAACACCGTGGTGCACATCAAATTGTTTAAGTGTAAGCACGCAAGATATATGTACCGACAAAATCATTTTTTTCATGGCCAAAAAAAAAGGGTTCTGTTATTATGTCACCCCCATTCTTTTCATTTTTTTAATTTTGTTTTAACCTCTATGTGCACTAGAATAAGCTTAACAAGTAACAATAATATATATATAGGTGTGGAAATACTAACACTAGAGCAAGCTAGCCACCAATTTCCTTTTCTTTGATTGTAGGAATCATATGGAAGAGGAACAAAAACTGGTTCATGGAAGCACTAGTTTGGTGGGAAGTGAAGAAGTGAATACCAAACTTGAGCTCACTATAGATGAAGTTTTTGATGTGTATGTAGGTTCCTTGGGCTTCTCTCAGCTGCTGCATGTGTTCTTGGTGTCATTGGCATGGATATCTGATGCTCAGAGTACATTGGTGACAATCTTCAGTGATGCACAACCTTCTGCTTGGAGGTGCAAAAATGGATTGTGCCTAAGTAATAATAGCACAGCCAAAGCAAGTGGTTCTGTTTGTGGGTTGGTGCCTGGGACTTGGGAATGGGTTGATGGCCATACAAGTTCCACCATAGCTGAGTGGGGTCTAATATGTGATCACAAGTTTCTAGCTGCAGTGCCTACTTCTGTATTCTTCCTTGGTTCTCTTGTAGGTACATATTCTTGTTCCTTTTGTTCTGCTTCCTCAACAATTGAAAAAAATTCTGGATGAAACTTTTAAATAAATAATAATGAAATCATTGATGGTATGTGAAGTTATGTAAAAAGAAATTCATGTGTTAGAGATTAATATAAATCATTAAAAAGACCCTCATCCAATCCAACACCTTAAAGTTTTGGATTGAAGTGGTTCTTTACATGGTATCAGAGCTTGAGTGACTACAAGGTCACAAGTTCGATCATCGCCGCCCCCCACTTTAAAGTGGAATTAAAATAAAAAGCACAAAAAGTAAACCAAAAATTGAGCCTGTGCAATATCCACGCTTCTAGCCCAAATGGCTCTTGCGTGAGAGAGTGTGTTAGAGATTAATATAAATCATTAAAAAGACCTTCACCCAACACCGTGCAATATCCACGCTTCTAGCCCAAATGGCTCTTGCGTGAGAGAGTGTGTTAGAAATTAATATAAATCATTAAAAAGACCTTCACCCAACACCTTAAGGTTTTGGGTTGAAGTAGTTGTTTACGGTATGTGAAGTTATGTATTTTTATCTGTGTATTACAAAATCAAAGGTAACGTTTATCTCCTAATAAACCTTGATTGTCCAATAAAAAGGCTAGGTGAAACATAATCTCAAATCCCTATGACCATATATGATGCTGTGGAGATGAATTAAATTTGCCACACTAATAACAATAATGACACCTACATGCACTTGTTTTTTCAACTTTGGTGTAGGTTCTGCTGTATATGGCTACCTAGCTGATTCATGGTTGGGGAGAAAAAGAACAGTGCAGGTTTCCTGCATCTTAACATCAATAACAGCCTTTGCAACATCTCTCTCCCCAAATGTTTTGGTTTATGCTTTCTTTCGCTTTGCAAATGGGTTTTCCAGATCAGGAATTGGAATTTGTTGCCTTGTTCTCACCACAGAATCAGTAGGTAGCAAGTGGCGTGGTCAAGTAGGCCAATATGGCTTCTTTTTCTTCACACTTGGTTTTCTTAGCCTCCCTTTTGTGGCTTATCCAACTAGAACTTGTTGGAGAAACTTGTATAAAATCTTGTCCCTTTTTCCATTGGCATATTCCATCCTATTACTCCCTTTTGTTTCAGAATCACCACGTTGGCTTCTGATAAGAGGGAGAAGCAAAGAAGCTCTGGCAATATTGGATAGATTTGCTAGACTAAATGGGAAGAAGAAAATTCCTAACAATATCTCTTTGGCAAACCCTTGTGGATTCAAAGATGGATGCACCAACGAAGGTGAAATAAGCACAAACAACATGGAAAGTCTTTGGACCACAACATGGGCAGCTTCAAGAATGGTTACTGTTATGGTAGCTGGCTTTGGAGTTGGGTTTGTTTACTATGGAGTTCAACTAAATGTTGAAAACTTGAACTTCAATCTTTTTATCTCAGTTGCACTTAATGCACTAATGGAAATTCCTGCAGTTTTTTTAGGTACTTTTCTCTTGGGGTTTGCTAACAGACGCTTGTTGTTCTCTGTGTCCTCTTACATAGCTGGAGTTTCTTGTATCCTATGCACTTTCTTTTCACACAAAGGAGGAAGTTCAAAAGTGCATGAATTTGGAGGCAATTGGAGTCAACTTTTTGTTGAAGCAATTGGCTTCATGGGTGCTTCATTAGCATTTGATATATTGTATATATATTGTGTGGAACTTTTTCCTACAAATGTAAGAAACTTTGCTGTGTCAATGTTGCGTCAAGCTTTGATGTTAGGGGCTTCATTGGCACCTTTGCTTGTTGTGTTGGGCCGTTTGAGTCCATCTCTTTCTTTCCTAATATTTGGGGCCTTCTCAATTACTAGTGGTTTTTTGAGTATTTGGCTTCCTGAGACTAGAAATGCTCCTCTCTATGAGACCCTGAAACAGCAAGAGGAGGAGGAGAAACATAACCTGGTGTCTCATGATAGTGGCCTCGAGCTTGGAAAATAACTGTTCATAAACTAAATATGTTATGTGCAAACTTCTCTCCTGCTTAAGGAATTTCAGTCATTCACCTTCTTTAAGGAAAATTTGAAAACTTATTTTTTGATTTAATTTTTAATCTGATTTTAATGAATACATATAAGGTTCAGTTTATGAGTCCTAATATATTCGTGTCAGCAAATTATCATGTGAGGATGTCAGCAAGAGTGTCCTAATATATTCGTGTCATGTTTTATTTAATATGACTATGTAAGAGAATTCTAATCATATAAAAATAAATTAACGGTGATAATTTTATAATTACTTATTCCAATATATTTCTCTCTCTTTCTTTATTATCATTGATTCATCTCCCAATAGTATACTTGATCTTGATTGCAATAACAAGCAAATTATGGTACTCTCATAGATGTCAAAACTGGTTCAATTTGTTCGGTTAGCCCAATTAACCAGGTTGGGTTGAATTCATTACAAATCGGGTTAATCGTTAGGTTTTTCAGTAAAAAAATTAGTCATTGAAATTTTTACCATTCTTTGATTTTCATTTGATATACTTTATTTCTATTAGGCAATACAAGGTATCTGCGAAATTAAATTTATAGTGCCAATCCGTTTTAAAATGAAGCAGGTTGAGATTTTCAACCAATTTTAATAAATGAAAACATGACATATTATCTCATTTTGTAATATGTTGGGGCCAAACCGGTTGCCAGTTTTAACAAATGTTATTAAACTCAGCCCGATTATTAATCCAATCGAGATATTGGGTCATTGATTCAACCAGTGAATTACTGATTCAATTGCATAACACGGTAAAAATATGTAAATATATAATTTATATTAAAAAATATAAATATATTTAAATATCTGTAAAATAATATATCAATTTCAAACATTTTAATATAAACAATAATAAATTACATATCAGTGTCTAACAAAAGATCAATTCAAAGGACTCTAGAGGTTAAGGTGAAAATGCAAAAATAAGTCACTAGAACATGGGTTAGGCGCGTACTTGCACGCGCGCGAAAAAATTCACTTCTGCTAGGGTTTCGTCATCAAAGTTTTCTGGAATTTTAATGGAGGAAGCGATCAACACTAATGGAGAGGCTCTGTCAATGGCGAGAAAGAGTACCAAAAGAACTAAGAGTACCAAAAGAACTAAGAGTGGGGAGGAAATCCCTACGGAGTTGCGTATGCGAGAAGCGGTGAAGGAGTATCAAGCCGATTCATCGTTGAAGGCTAAACAAAGATGCTGAAGTCACGGGAGAGGAGAACGGAGTAGCAGGAGATGCACTTCCATGGTTAATTGAGGAAGAAGCTCCAGATCTGGAACCTCTGGACCCAAGTTTGGGTGCAATTTCGGAATGAGGCTTTCAAACGATTATCAGGGAGGATGGATCGGTGGAAATAAGGAGTAATAGTGAAGCCAGAGCAAGGATGAGGCAGCGTTGGAAGAATGCACTGATAGTTAAACTTCTGGGCAAGAAGATTGGGGTGGGTTTCATGAAGAAGAAACTAGAATCTCTTTGGGAAAAGGCAGGAAGTATTATGGTAGCAGATCTTGGGAACGAGTTCTTTTCAGTGAGATTCAGTAGCCTAGAAGATCTCAATCTAGCCATCACGGGTGGTCCTTGGGTCATTCTAGGGCACTACCTTGCCACTCGAAAATGGGAACCATGCTTTGATCCGGACAAAACTAACATCACAAGGTGGTAGCCTGGGTCAAGAATATTGTGAGTTTCCTTTTATTAACCAACTGGGAAATGTAATTGGGAAAGTTCTCAAAATAGATAGAACCACATCCATTGGAGATAGAGCTTGATTTGCTAGAGTTTGTATTGAGATTGATCTTTCTAAACCATTGAGAGGGGAATATATCCTCGATGGTTGTAGGAAGAGGGTGGAATATGAGGGCCTCTTCTTGATTTGTCTCAAATGTGGAAGGTATGGGCACAACTCGGCCTCTTGTCCTGATTATGTCAAACTTGCATCATCGGTCAAACCTGAGAAGACACCTGAACAATCTGTGGAAATACCATGCAATCAAGGTGTAGGCCCTTGGATGGTGGTCCAGCGTAAGAAAAAAAACCAACAACAGTTCCAGAAAAAAGATTCTGTCAATGGCAGAAGCTTTGGTGAAGATATATTGAACAAGAAGAATTTGAAGGGGTCAGGGATAAATCCTAGAGTAGAGAAGAGCTCTCAGGAAACTAACTCTGGAAAATCTCCAGGAGCAGTCAATTCAGTGGCTAAAGTAAATAAGGAGAATGAGGTTTTAAAGAATATAGTTCATTCCCCTGTTTTAGGAATGAACTTCTCTGCAGTAGCAACTGATCAAAATAAGAAGGCTTTAGGGAATAAGGCCCCTATGTCAGTAAACAAGAAACCTTCTTCTAAGAATCAAAATGCAAAAGGCAAGGGAATTATCCGGTCTACTCCTCCTACTATTGCCTTGGGTAGTAGCTCTAAGATTCAGAATGACAGTGATAAAGATTCCCAGTTTATTATGGGGCAACAGAAAGGTAAACTTTGGGGGGATTTGATGATGGTGGTCGAAAGCTCCACGGAAGAGGACAAATCTGATCTTCCTAGCAAGAATTTGTCAGATGTTAGTTTGGTCATGAATGAGGCAATGGAAATTCCTGACCCACCTGACCAAGACATGAGAGAGGTATCCAAGGTGGGAGAAATCCAGGCAGGTATGGAGTTTGCATTATCTTTGGATAATTCAATGAACAATTCTATGAATGTTGATTGTGATGTAATATGTGATGAAGAGATTTCTGTATTAAGGGAATCTGGTTTTGTGAATCATGAATTAAGTAGCAAGAACTTAGAAATCTTGCAACCAATTCAAAATTCATTATGAATATTATTACCTGGAATTGTAGAGGTGCTGTCAAAAAACAATTTAAGAGCATCTTTAACAGATATTGTAGGAAGCATGATGTTGGAGTGGCTGCTATTTTAGAGCCTAGAGTTAGTGGCAATAAAGCTACTAATATAATTTGTAGATTGGGTTTTTCTAATCATTTAATTGCAGATGCTCATGGCTTTGCTGGAGGCATCTAGATTTTGTGGAATAACAGAGATGTTAAAATTTCTCTGATTAATAAACATGATCAGTTTATACATTGCTGGGTTGAATTTCCTGAAATAAAGGGGGTTTTTTGGACGGTTGTGTATGCTAGTCCTCAGGAAGACACTCGTCAAGTGCTTTGGGAGGAATTGAAGCACATTGGCAGGAATATGAATGATCATTGGCTATTAACTGGGGACTTTAATGAAATAGCTATGGCTTCAGAAAAAAAAAAGGTGGGGGCCTGTGGATTTGAATAGATGTAATCAATTTGCTAATGTCCTTAATGCTTGTAGGGTGATGGATCTGGGAGGTAGAGGTAACAGATTCACTTGGAAAGGCCCAAAGTTCCTCCATTTAGACAGAGTATTTAAAAGGTTGGATAGAGCAGTTAGTAATGTAGATTGGAGAGCCTCTTTTGAGGATGCTGATGTTCTAGTCCTCCCTAGACTGTTTTCTTATCATTGCCCAATCCTGGTGAGAATGACTGAAGAAGAAATTTGCTGGAGGGAGAGGCCATTCAGATTCTTGGCTACTTGGCAAAATGATGTCAGGTTTATAACTTTTCTGAAGGAAAATTTGAACCCTACTGATGGATTGTTGAACAACTTAGATTCTTTTATGCCTCTGTTAAAGGATTGGAATAAAAATATCTTTGGGTTCACTTATCATAGAAAAAATAGGGTTATTGCTAGAATGGAGGGTATTCAAAATCAAATGAGTTCTTCTAATAGTTACCATCTGGAAAAACTCGAAGATGAATTGAAGAAGGAGCTATCTGATATCCTTGATCAGGAAGAACAGATCTGGTTCCAGAAGTCTAGGGGTGATTGGATAAGAGATGGAGACAGAAATACTAGGTTTTACCATACTAGTACTGTTGTCCGGAGAAAAAGAAATAAAATCTTGAAGCTTCAGGATGATTTTGGGAAGTGGGTGACTGGAGAGGATGAGCTTATCAATTTAGCTAGAAGTTTTTTCCAGAATCTCTTTAAAGACAATTCTGAAGAAACTATATGGTATCATACTAATAATTCTTGGCCTACTATAAGGGAGGAACAAATTAGTAATTTGTCTATGAGCATCTCTCTTGAGCAAGTGAAGAGGGCCTTTTTCCAAATGCCTGCTTTGAGAGCCCCAGAAGCATATGGGTTTCCAGCCTTGTTTTACCAAAGAAATTGGGAGATCCTTAAAGATCAAGTGTTTAGCAGCATGCAGTTTTACTTACAAAACCCAAGTCAGATTGGTAAGCTTAACCATACTCTTATTGTGCTGATTCCCAAAGTTGAAAGACCTTGTTTGATGAAACAATTCAGGCCTATAACTCTTTGCAACACTGTCTACAAAGGTCTTAGCAAGATTCTGGCTAATAGAATCAAACCCCTTCTAATGGAGCTTATTTCCCTGAACCAGGCCAGTTTTGTCCCTAAGAGGCATATTCAGGACAATATTATTATTGTTCAAGAACTCATCCATTCTATGCATAGGATGAAGGGAAAAAAGAGCTTCTTATCTATCAAGATTGATTTAGAAAAAACGTATAATAAACTTAGCTGGAAGTTCATCAGATCTGTTTTAGAAGATTTGAAGTTCCCTGGGGATTTAACTGAAGCTATCATGGGTTGTGTAACTAGCCTTGTTTTAGAAGTGCTTTGGAATGGAGCCAGAACCCCAAGCTTCCAATCTCAAAGGGGAATTAGACAAGGGAATCCTTTATCCCCTTATCTATTTGTCCTCTGTATGGAGAAATTAACCCACTTAATCATGGATGAAGTGGAAGTTGGTAACTGGCTGCCAATTAAAGTGGGTAAATATGGCCCTCCTTTGTCTCATATTATGTTTGCTGATGACATTATCATTTTTGCATAAGCTTCTTTAAGTCAGCTCAGTTGTATTGTCCACTGCCTTGATAAGTTCTCAAAGA